GCCCCTGGCGGGCACCCCTGTGGAACACTCATCATGGGTGTAAATCCGCCAGGTGGTGAAAAGTAGGAAGGTGTTGCAGACCCAGGAAAACACCCCATTTGCATGTCCGTTAGGGATTTATCCATTAAAAAATAGCCTGCAGGCTCCTGGCACAGCGCTGGCCTCTGTGGCCTGGCTGGGCCTCCGGCCCACAGTTGCAGGAGGCAGGGGAGCCCTCACCTGCCGCCAGCCTGTCCCAGCACAGAGACGGCGGTTATGCTTGAAGACGGAATATCATTCCTGAGGTGAACTGCCATATTAAAGAACGCCAAACACGGCCCAGCCAGCTGCTCATTGGGTAGGGCTTCGGCCTGCGGACTGCAGGGTCCCGGGTTCCATTCCAGTCAAGCGCAGGTTCCTTGGTTGCAAGCTCCACCTGGGAGCAGGGGCAACAGAGCATGTCTCTCTGTGTCTCACCCTCCCTTCCACTCTCTAAACACCAATGGGAAAATATGCTCGGGTGACGATTAGCAACGACCACAACCCCACAAGCAGCAGCCTCAGAGGGCCAGCGCCCGGGAGCTCTGACCATAACCCATAGCCGCAGGCGCCCTCTGCGCGCGGGCTGAGACCCTCCTGGACGGTGGTGGCTCGGACGGTGGCTCGCAGGAGCGGACAGGTCGCCGCATCAGGGGGCGCGGGAGGGGCCGCGCAGTGCCCCCAGCCTGACCCCGCCCCGCCCGCGCCAGGAGAAGGCGGTGGCCTTTGTTCCTCCCCAGCTGGGTAAACCGCGCCCGCGCCCCTCGCGGCGGCACCTTTGTCCTGCCCAGGCCACAGACAATGGCCAGCGAGTCTCTCGGAGTCGGACACCTCGTTTGTGTGCACGTGGGGGCGGGGCGGCCAGGTGCGCAGGCCGCGGAATGCAGGTCCGCCGCGGGCCGGGCTGAGGGTGGCCCGGCCTCTCGGGTACGGGGACAGGAGGGGCTGGGCTCGATATTTCTCTCCCCCGCGCCCCCATCCGGTTGGTGGCGGGCCTGCGCGGGGTGGAGTGGTTGGGGGCTCTGGCTCTTCAGCCCCCCGTGTGGGACACACCTGGCTGTTGTAAAGTGATTTACGAAGTGAAAGTGCTAAACGAGGCCACCAGCTGGAGCCGACCCGGCGTTCTGGGTTTATTAGGTGCCCTGTTATGGGAGATAAACTTTAATCCGACCATAAAACCAAATCTGAAAAACATGTTTGCCCTTGTGGTCTGGCCCGCGCAGCATTCCTGGTGAAAGTCACGCCTCCGAAGGGGTTAGTTTTATTGCGGGAGACACCGTGCACGCAGGACTTTGATTTGGGGTGGGGACCCCTCCCCTCAGCCCTTTGCTGCGAGGAGGGCTTCCTTCCTGGTGGGGCCTGCTCCCCCCAGGGCCCCTCCCAGCGGCGCCCCCTCCGCCCTGGGCCTGGGGCCACTCCACTCCAATCCTGCGTGGGCAGCGGCTCAGGTCCTGCGATTGGGCGGCGCGGGGTTCCCCTTCCTGTGCCCTCTCAGTGATCTGGATTCTCCCACCTAGTCTGCCCTTCCTTTAGGAAGGAGGGAGTGAAGGAAGGAGAGATGGGGAAGGAGGAGGGAGGAGAGAGTAGGAGGAAGGGGGTGGGGAGGAGGAAGGCCTGCCTTCCTTTCAACCGCCTTAACCATCTTCAGTGTCTGGTACAATCATGCTAACGCCATACATTTAACTGGGCAACATCTCTGCAATTGTCTCTTCTGCAAACAAAACCTGTACTCAGCCAGCCCCCCAGCCCCTGACACCCCTCTACCTTCTGCCTCTAGGAGATGAACGATTTCAGGTTCCACGTGTACGTAGCATCATGCAGTGTTTTTGTGCCGGGCTTGTTTTGCTCGCAGAAGGTCCTGGAGGCTATCCGCCGGCCGGCCTTCTCATTTAAGGCTGAATAACATTCCATGTTATGTCTGTGCCCGTTTTCTTGGTCCATTCACCTGTTGACAGGCCCTTGGGTTGCCACCACTCCTTCACTCTGTGAGTGATGCCGCGGTGGCATAGGTGGGCCGGAGCTCTCCCAGAACCTGCACTCAGTTGTTTGGGGCACACCCAGCACTGGTGTTGCTGGCTCCTAGGTACTTGTGGTTTGTGTTTGACCTGTTTAAGGACCCTCCTTGCTGTTTTCCATCCCACCAACAGTGCACAGGGTCCCCATTGTTCTGAGTCCTCACGAAGCGTGTTTTCCGTTTCCGGCTTGGTGACAGCCATCCTAGCCGGGCCAGGTGGGCTGTCGCGTTTCCCTAGTGAACGGTGCCGTTGCAGCCTTCACGCGGCTGGGTCGCTTGAGTGTCTTCTTTAGAAAATTGTCTAGTCCAATCCTTTGCCTGTTTTAAAACTGGATTTTGTCGCTGTTGCTGAGGTGCATTTTTTATGGACATGAGCCCATCAGACAGGAGACCCGTGGGCTGTGTGTGTGTGGGGAGGGGTGCGTGTAGATTGGTTTCTTTGTCTCCAACTTTCTTTTTTCTATCCTTTCTATCCTTTCGCTGTTGCTGGGGACACGGTCACAGGCAGGACACCCTGCCCTGGAAAGGGTGCTCAGGACACCCTTTACAGAGAAGAGCGCTCGCCCGAGGGGCTTGGCCAGGTTCAGAGAGGTCCGGCGTCTCAGGCTTCAGGTGGGACCCTCGAGGGGCTGCACTCCAAAGGCCCCTGGCTGCCACCACCCCGGGAAGTCTGGGCTTGTCTGAACACCACGTTTCCTCTGTCTCCCTCCGGCGCCTGGGGCTGCGTAGATGCAGACGTGGCGGGGGTCCTGGGGTCCATCCGCGGGGCTGGCTGCGCTCATTCCATGGAATGAATTGTTCGCTGTGCCCGGAGTGGGTGAGGACCAGCCAGTGATTATATTTAAATTTGCTATAATTGATTTGGGGAAGAGCAACTGTGACAAGAACGAATTGATCATTAAATTTATTAGCGAGATAAATCCGCCGCGATTAAGCAGCTGGCTGGAGCCAGGGCGCGGCGGCCAGGCCTTCCCGCCGCCAAGTCCCCGCGCCAAGCCGGGCTGGTTCGGTTGGGGGGCATCATAAGGATGTCCCTCGGCGCCCCCTTCCCCTGCCGCAGAGGGAGCGGGTCTGCCCGCTGGGTGAAGAGACAGCACCTTGCTGGGGCCTGAGGCCCGACTCCGGGACCAGTGCCCCCCACCCGCGCCGCGCGGCGGAGCCCTGGCCGCCCAGCGCCGGGTCGGGTGGGGGCGAGGGCGGGCCTGCGCGCGGGAATACACGGCTGTGCAGCCGGCCGGGGGGCGATCGCTTCAGGCTGAACTCGCCGCTGCGTTAGAAATTAAAACGAGACACACACAGGTTGCAGATCGCTTTTAACCCGAAGGCCCGCCCTCCTCCTCTCCCCTCCCCCCTTCCGCGGGGCTTTCCCACCAGTTGCAAACCCAGCCCTGTCCCCCAAAGCACCTTTGGACCCCGAGGCGGCCAGGCCCGCGCCCGACAGCTGCTCCCGCGGTCGCGCCCCCGGCTCGGCGGGGTTGGATTTTATGGAAGGAGCCGGGGTGATAATGAGCTGCCAGAGAGGATATTAATCTCGCCCGGCCTGGAGGTGGAGGCGTGGCCCCGCTGGCCTGCGCGTAATCGCGGGAATGAGCCGCCCGGCCCCTGCGAACTCATCCATCAGCTGGGAGGCGGGGGAGGGGCGCTCACCCCGCGCCCCGGGCCCCGAGAGTGGAAACAGGAGGAGGGAGAGAGCAGTGTCCCCGTCGCGATTTCCTCCAGGCCCCGGCGCGGCGGAGGGGGCAGGAAGCGGCGGAGGCCGGAGGCGGCGGGGCAGGAGCCGGGGGCGCGAGGCCGGCATGTGTGCAGCACCTGGCGCGGGTGATGGATGGCGCGTGCTGCTGAGGTGGGTTAACCCGGAGCCAGTGCAGCCTTGGGCTGTCCTTCGGACTGTGCTGTCCTCGCAGATCCCAGGAAGCCGCTCCAGGCCGGGCTCCGAGGCTGGGAGCTGGGGAGGGACTGCGCCGCGCTCTGGGAGGCCAAGGGGACCCGGGAACGTGCGCAGGTGGCGCCCGGCCGCCCGGACCTCAAGTGCTCGTCCCGTGTAGGCGGCTGGAGCGTCTTTTCCGAAACACGCAGGGGTTCACTTCTGGACCCCAGTGAAGCAAGAAGCCCCGGAAGGAAACGGGACAACAAGCCAGGGCCCAGGGTCACCCTCCCGGGTGGGGCATAGGGACGGGTGAGAGCCAGGCATCCGGACGCGAGCGCAAACCTGGCCTCGGGGACTTTCTTTTATACCAACACTTCGCACCCGCGACTCCACAGCAGCGGAACCCAGCGCCCCTCTCGCGGGCGCTCACACCCAGCTGCAATTCTGGGATTCGGATTCTCACCTCCTGCTGCGAGTCGGTGGGGGCGGGGAGACCCCCATCGTTTAGACAAGAGCTGTAACGCTCTTCCACGCTCCCCCCAAGAGATTGTCCCGCTCCTCCAGTAAAAAACCAATTTATTTTACATCCCACCGCGGACGATGGGAGAAGCTGAATAATAATTTAGCATGCATAGTCGTTTCTTTTTATATATAAATACAGTGTACAAAAATAAAGACCGCACAGTGCTAGATCTCCAGCAGCTGGAACGCTCATGACAGAGGTGCCCCCTAAGATACATAAGCACATTCTCTTCTTTTCTCAAGACTCAGCGAGTGGCGTTTCCAGGGAGGTTTCCAGTTTCCAGGGGTGGAACTAGGGTCCCGCCTTCCCCACTCGGGAAGGGCAGCTGGGCGCCGCCCCGGGTGGCGTCGGTTCTCCTTACAATACCGCCCCCCCCCAAAAAAAAAAATTCCATGGATAAGAACCAGAGTTCAAGTCTGCACGCGCTGGGCCGCCTCTCTTGGTCCCTTGCGGAGCAGACGGGTGCTGCGGCCCAGACCTGCAGCTCCGACCGGTGCGGGACCTGGGGCCGGCGGTGGCTGCGGCGGGCGCGGGGCCCAGGCGTCCCGGGACCCGCATCCCTGGCGACAGCCCGGGTCCTACTGCAGGGGCGGCTGGTGCCCCGGCCTCGGAGACGGGGAATCGGCCCCGGAGGAGCAGTCGGAGGAGGCGGCGTGCGCGCCGCCATTGCTGTAGGGGAAGGGGTCCTCGTCCTCCCCGTCCTCCTCGGGGTCACTGTCCCTCAGGTCCCGCGGGCGCCGGCCGCCCTTGTCCCCGGGCGCGGGCGGCCCCAGCAGCTCGTCGTCGCCCTTGTCCTCGGCGGCGCCGCCCCTGCCCGCGCCCCCGCCGCCCCTCTGCTTCTCAGCCTCCTGCGCGGCCTGCTCTTTGGCCTTTTTGCTGCGTTTCCACTTCATCCGCCGGTTCTGGAACCAGATCTTCACCTGAGGACACAAGGGGGTCAGACACGCTCACCGCCCTCCGCTCCCGTCCCTCCCAGGCCCGGCTCTGGCACCTGCCAGCGGGCCGGAGTGGGGCTCGGGCCCGGGAGGAGCTGGGCAGGGCTGGGGGCGGGGGCTCAGGGGAGCTGAGCTGGAGCCCGACCGCGCCTTCTCCTCCACCCCCCCCCCGGGGCTCCCTGGGGCTGCGGCGGGGGCGGGGGGTCAGGGCAGCTCGGGGGCGTCTGTGAAGCTCACGGTGTTCCCGCCTCTCTTTCTGGAACAAAATTTCTCGAATGTGACCTGGGGCCACCCGCTTTCGGAACGGGGGCAGAGGGTCTTTAAAATTCAGGTTCCTCCCCCCCCCCCCCCCCCATCTCCTGAATCAGACCTCTGAGCCCGGGTGAGGAACCCCGGCCCCGACAGTAATCCGCATTCAGCGCCCCCCAGGCCGGTGAGGGAGCGGCGGGCGCTCACTGAGTCTCCGTGAGCATCAGCGAGGTGGCCACCTCGAAGCGCTTGGGCCGCGACAGGTACTTGTTGAGCTTGAACTGGTGCTCCAGCTCCAGCAGCTGCTGGCTGGTGAAGGCGGTGCGCGGCCGGCGGCACTTCCCCAGCAGGTTCGACTGCGCCTGGGCTGCGGGCGGAGCGGCGTGAGGCGCAGCCTGGCTCGGGCCTCCGCCCACCCGCGGGTCCTCCTGAGGTGGGACCTCAGTGCCAGCGACCCTCCCCAGCCTCGAGGCCCGGGCGGAACCAGACGGTGTGTGTGTGGGGGATGGGGTGGACCACAGCTCTATCCCAGACAGACCCTGAGAGCCCGTCCCGGGGCGCCCTCCCCACCCGGGGGCGCTGGCAGAGGCAGGAGAGCACCCACCGCGGCCTCAGGCCTGCCCACTCCGGCGCAGGTTCCCACCGCCCGCTTCCTTCCACACTGTGCAGGCGCCTCAGGTACGAAGGGAGGAGGAGGAAGGGCGGGCGGGAGGCAGGAACTGAATCCTGGGCCTAGACAGTTTTCATCAGAGACCTCCCCCCATTTAAAATGTTTTTTCCACCAACCGCCCAGCACAGAGGGGCCGGGCCTGGGACCGGGGAACTGGTAGCCTTCCAGGACATTCTTTTTATGCAAATGAAAGGCCTGGGCAGAAGGGACTTTGCTTCCTATGCATTCAAGGAGGTCTCTCTCTTTATTTACATAATTTCACACGGTTACATCACAGAGAATTTTATGACCTCAAAACAAGACTTCCCTTGATTTCCCAGGAGCCTGACGAGTGTTAGACAATAAAAGAAAGAAAGAGAAGAAAGGAGGCCGGCCGGGCCGGAGGAGCAGCTCCCCGGGGACGGCAATTTGCTTTATGGGAGGCCCACGCCCCCCGCTTTAGTTAAACAAGGCCCCGGATTCCCAACTTGACACAACATTAGAACTTTAATTAAAACACTGGCTCCCAAAGGACCATTTGGAAAATGCCATCCGACAGCAGAGATGACCAATTAAAGGAACCAAACAGGTTTTCCTTCTGGCGACCAGGGGGGACTGGGACGCTAGGCACCCTGGCCAGTTTGCTGCGGCCCTGGCCCTTCGGGGCTCAGTGTTCACCTTCTTTCTGGATTCACACTGCCTGGATTCTAAGTCGGCTGCCTCTGGGTCAAAATTTGGAACCAGAGATGGACAAAGTGTGTTGGCAAAGAAATGGAGCTTTCATCGGTTTCCTGCATGACACTGGGTTCCACCGAGGCCCCCAAAGCACCTGGGTGGCTGCAGAAGCCAGCCCCCCCCCATTCCCTCCCCCCACACACACACAGTGGGGGACAGTCTCAGGCCCCGGGGGGGATGCAGATCATAATGAGAAGAGGTGTGCTGGGGGGAAGGCCAGGCCCTGGGTTTGACTGACCCTGGATCAGCGTCGTCTATAGCGTGGAAGCCCCCCAGTGAGAGGTGAGGGCCAGCCTACCCTCTTCTTTGTGGGGGCTCAGGTGGGAGTGACTCCAACGGGACCGGGTGGGTGGTCATTAGGCCTCTGGGAGCTGAGCTGAGGCAAGGCCAGCCCAGGCAAGCAGTGCCCTGCTGGGATTTTTCTCACTGGGCTGTGACTTCTGTGGCCCTTGGGGCCCTAGCTTTTCTCTGTTTAGTCACAGCCATGGCTTCTAACAGAGGAATCTGAATTTTGCCAAGTGTTTATTTCTGTTTTCTTTTTGGCTTTTCCCTCTACCATGCCTGCATCTCCTCAGTCTAAACAAATCCACTCAGACAGAAACAATGGGGTCTCTTTGTTTGGGTGTTGGGTGCTGGGAAGCATAAAGCCTATGCGTCTTCCTCTGAGCCTATGGGGCGGGGTCCCAGGATGGAGACCGACTCTCCCCTGCAGCCAGTGCCTCTCGCCAGCAAAGCCAGAGCTGGCCCAGGCCTTGGGGAAGGTCCCGCCTGGGAGATGGTGAGCCCGCGGCCCGCAGTCCACCGCCCACCTCTCTCCTAGAGGAAGGGTTCGCTTCTGTGTAGGGCATCCCCACTTCAAAGTGGGTGCAGCTGCTTAGAGTCCCTGTGATGGGGTTCCTGACAAAGGGTGCATCCCCCTGCTACCGGGGCCCACTGACCACCACTCCGTTCAAGTCAGGCCATCACCTCTGGGCTTTGCACCCTGGACGAGCGCCCTTCCAGAGGCAGCAGAGCCAGGGAAGGGCCGGGGTGGCCTGGGCTCTGGCCTTTGGGCCCGGGGAGCCCATTTCTCTCCTGCTGCTCCCGATCTCTCCCTCTCCTGGGAGGGGCCAGGGGAGTGGGGGTCTCTCCAGAACCCAGAATGTGGGACAAATTTAAGTCAGTTTCCCTGGATATGAGCGCCTGGTTCCTGACCCTCAGGCCGCCTGACTCAGGGCGCTCTGGGGCGCTCCTTCCTTCCCCCGCCACTTCCTTCTCCCCTAGCCTGCCAGTTAATCATTAGATTTTAGTCTCACACCTCCAGCTGCACCGAACCGTTGAGAGAAAGAAGGCAAGGCCCGCGCGTGGCCATTTTACTGATTCGCGCCCATCCCAACCGCGCAGCCGGCCCGAGTCCTCGCCGGCCCCAGGCGGAGCAGGGCGGCTTCACCGCGCTTCCACAGCTCCATCGGAGCAGAAAGCGAAGGGAGGGAGGTGTCCCGTGGAGGCGGATGGATGCGCAAGAGAACTATCTGCCAGGAATCTCCTACCCCGAGGGCTGCTCGGTACTCACAGTTGAAGTCCGGCATCTTGGGGCAGGATCATGCCCGCGGTGGACGCGCGCAACCACTGGTCCAGCTGGAAGGTGCCTGCGCCCAGCTTGATGGGGGGCGACGGGGTGCGCGGGGTGCGCGCCTTGCACCTGTGGGTACGAGTAGGAGAGCGCCGGGTGCTGGCCTGCCAGGGCCGCCGCCGCCGCCGCCGCCGAGTAGCCGTAGACCGGGTGGCCGTAGAGAGCCGCCTGCGCCGGGAGCCCCGCGCCGCCCTGCGCGCCCCCCGGGTGCAGCCCCAGCGCCAGGCTTCCC